ATCCCAGACCCTGCACCTCCTCCAGTAATACCACTTTCCAAAATCTTAGAGTGGTTCCCCATCAAAAATTATTGTCCACCTCTGGGTTAGGCAGTACTCAAACAATCCAGTCTCCTATTCCCCCTTTCCTCCCTCATCCTTTACTGTCTGGTGACTAAGGGCTTCTTTCCTATGTAACAAACAGGAGTGGAGGGAGCTAGAGCTGTTCATATATGAGGAACAATACTCTGATGGTATGTTTAACCACGATTTTGGAGCAAGCTTCCCAGCGCAGGTGGACAGACTTAACTTATCAGGATTCATGTTAGTGCCCTAAAAAAGCTGGCATAGGCTGGAGCTTGGACTCGGAAGTGACCCAGGAGGATCAGTCCAAAATGCTTTGTTGATATACTCTGAGATGTGTCCTGGTTTTCTGTTCAGTCAGGGTCTAGTGATTGGATGGAACAAGGTTTTTTCCTTTTACATTCTATTGAGTGAATTTTATTGCTCATAAAACTAGAACAAGTTTTAATGACTGTTAAATGCTTGTCTGATATCAAAGAGGCACAATATAAAAGCATAAATGCTTCTGTAGAGCACAATTAGAGATTCTGAAGAACCACAGAAAAAAAAAGGAGTAAATACGAATAAACATGCAGTGGAAAAAAAATCAGGCAGGGCGGATATCCAACTTAAGCAAGTATTTGTAAAAATAAAATGTTTAGCCAGTGGGATGTTTCTTTCAAAAGCATGAAATGTGGTCTCTCCAGTGTGTTCACTCCATGAACCCAAATGTCAGCTTCCAGTTAATACCTGGCATTCAGAACAAGTTTTCCCACTTATTGTAAAAGAGCAGTTATCTGCTGGCTAACTCCCATTCAAAATCTTGAGATAAATCCCAGACTCCAGACACAGTCTAACTTCTCTCTCACTCCTAATCCTCAAGCTACTGATAATTCACCGAAAGGAAGAAGAGACAACCTGTGAATTTAAAGAGAAAGACACTGCGGTCAATTTTCACCTATCACCATGATCTTTAAATTGCCCTTAATAAGCTTCTGCAGTAAAAAAGGGAGCCTGGATCCGTGGGCTGCTTGTCTACAGAGGAGACAGCTGTATCTATGAGCTGTAGTTTCCACCTCAGTCCCAGGCTTATTAGCTTCATTTATCTTCTCTCTCAGGCTGAAGGAGAAACAACCAGCTCTTGATTTCAGTGCCCGTTCTTTATCTCTCTGTTTATGCAGAAGTCTTCTAAAAGACTAAAGTACTCAGCTTGGACTCCTCCTGACTTACTTAGTATATGGCTAAACGCACTAGATTTAAAGCAATGTTAATTACACTATGTTTATTTTGAACAGCAGTGAGGTAGCTTCTTGTAAGCATACTAAGATAGAGCTTCCAGTTCTTGGCATGTATTTGCCAAATAGAGTTAGGAATCATTTTTCACATATTTACCTAAAAAGGCCAATTTAATTAGCAATCTGAGATGAGTTATGTGCTCCTGTCAATCACATGCCACTTCGCAGCTTGAAAGTGACTAGGAGCGGCATGCAACACAGTGAAACTGGTAAGCACCATTGTGCAGACCAAGATCATGGCTGAAAGTGCTTTTATTTGTTCATATTTTTTCATATTTTGACAATGGCTACAACAATAAGCTCAAAATCTAAATAAATCTAATTCAAAGTTATTTCTTCCACTAAACCCACAGTAACTGAGTCAAGAACATTCACAACTTTAGATATTTCTCTTATTTTTATATATGTATTGAAAAATAAAATCCTGACCTGAGCTAACAGATATGTGTCTGCCTTGAGTAAATGAATGAAAGCACTGCTTTAATCCTCACCCTTCCACCCCATGGTCTGTTTACTGTTCATCTACCTCACTCAACATCAGGGATTACTGATGTTTGAGCACTCATGATGAAACTCTCTATACCTAGAGCTACCCATGGCAGGCAGTAACCATACCCAGAGAGTCATTCATAGTATTATAGGATTAGGACACTCTCCTTTGTCTGGCAGTTGAGGCACTGAGGTTCCTTTATGGTGCATAGTTGCTGCATGAAAAAAGAGGGTAGATCATTGGGCTGCCCTTCCAAGGAATCTACCTTAGCCTTGGACTAGGAGTTTCCCAGGTTATAGTCAGAGACTGGAGCAGAAGAGCTATGTAGCGCCATGGACAGAGCGAAAACAGGTAGGCACAAAACAGCTCCTTCTGAGGGACACCACAGAGGGTCCCGCTCTGAGGTTCCTGCAAAAGATAGCTGTTTGGACTACTGTTTGTTACCACCTAATTGAGGACATGTGGCTTGTGTACATTTTACACACACACATACATACCACTAAGGAAAAAAATCACTGATATCTGCTCCAGACAAGAAACTGACTTTTGGTTAGGAAAGGGGCAACGGTAATATAGTGAGTATTTGGGAGCGCGAGTCGTCTAGTGGTCAGAGTAGCATACTGGGAACGAGGACACTCCCTCTTCCTGCCTTGATTCTAGCTCTGGTGACTTTTGGAAAGAGGCAAAGCTTCTATGCCTCAGTCCATTCATTCTTAAAAAAGGATATGCGTTAGCTCTTTGTCTCATAGGAGTTTGCAGGACTTAATGTTTGTCAAGAGGTTTTGAATAGAAGACAATACTAAATACTAGGGGTTGGCCACCTTTTCAAACCAAAGAGCCAAACTACATCAAAATTCAGAACAAGTAGTCAACAAAGAGCTGTGTAAGTATGTCCAGATGCATGACTGAAAATATACAAACTTAATATTATTGATAATTGACATAATGGTTAATAGCATAAATGAAACATCGTACAGTAAAACTCAAATTGTCCGGCATCCAGTGGTCCGGCACTCCTGATAGTTCGGAACCAACTGGAACCCGGAAGTGCTCCGGCCAGCCAGACAATTGGAGCTGCTGTGAGCCCCATGGGCGCTCGTGGCTGGGAAAGGAAAGGGGAGAAGAGAAGAAGGGGATTATACCCGTGTGATGTGTCTCCTGGGACCCGCACTGCGATCAGCCGGGGGGGGAGGATGGACGGGGAACGGCACGGCGAGGGGCGAACCCTCCGTCATTTTGCAGGAAGGCAGGAGAAGCCCCGTGCGGCTGCCAAGAGTTTCCGGGAGGTTTTTTTTCGATGTGCCTTTTCGAAAGATAGCGTCCACATTGACTGGATGCTGTCTCGCATTTCACTTGTGATTAGTCTGGACAGAATGGCCATCAGGGCACCTGTGTGATTTCCTCGAGGCCTCTTCTTTTGAAAGAACTCCCTCTTGAACATCCACACATAGGGCTGCCAGATGGTTTGACAAAAAATACTGAACATCCCTCTCCCGCACCAAAATAACCCCAAACCAACCAACCACAACACTGGGGAAAAAATCTGTCAAGGGAGGAAAAAAAAAGGGGGGGGGGGGAGGGAGAGACCAAAGATGGTAAGCAGAAGCAAAAAAGTTGCACCACTCCCTCCAGTTTTGGATCACACACTAACCCCCAATGCCCCCCCCTCCGAGCCAGGCCTCCTAGTCCCCCCCATCCCAATGCACTCACCCTCCCCCCCCGCAGCTTCCCCTCATCCCAGTGCACTACCCCCTCCCCCTGAGGTAGGCATCCCCAGAGCCAGGAGCCTCCGCCCCAATCAAATCTTCCCCCTCCCCTCTGCAGACCCAGGCATGGAGGAACAATATGACTTTTAAAGTGCTCCTCCTGCCACCCGGCCCGGCTGCCTTGGCTCCCATTGTAGAGAGAGGGAGGCATCACGTGGCCAGCTCCCAGTTTCTGCTGGTCACGTGGGCCAGAGCAGTGTGAACTCCGCTCCCAGCCCAGCCTGGCGCCCCCCTAGTGTGGCATCTGGCAAATGCCCCCTCCTGCCCCCTCTTCGATAGACTCTACCGTGCTTCTCACTCCCCCGCCCCTGTCCCCGCCAGACGTGCCAGGGGAAAATTGTCACCGCTGGGCTTCTGTCCCAGGGGAACGAGAAATACCGGACATTGTACATGTCTGGTATTTCCTGGGTGTTTTTTTTTGTTTTGTTTTTTTTTAACCGGACGGAGCCAGCAGATACCAGACTGCCCGGGTGAAAACTGGACACCTGACAACCCTAGCTCCTGTTTTGCCTTGCACAAGCAATGTGGTGGCAGGCAGACTGCTGCTGCAGGAGGGGGTGAGCGGGGGAAACAGGCTGCTGTGCTACTTGGACATTCCTCAGCACAGACAGCTCACAGAGCTACTTGTGACACTGCTCCCAGGAGCTGAGGAAGCATGGAAGAACTCAGAGGGAATCCCAAAATGTGCAAGGAACTCTGCCTTTTCACAGCACTTCACTGTGGGATACATACCCACAGTGCATTGCTCACACTGTTCATGATGGTTTTGGCATGACCTACCAACCAACGGACAAATGTGAACACCCTCTGTGAGTGGTAGGAATGTGCTACAATTCCCCACCATACAGTTGGGGAACCAAGTCTGTTAAGTGCTCATTCAGGATCAAACAGGGTGCCTGTGTTCAAACAAGATTAGGACTTCAAGTTGGTTGTTTTCAGTGGGCCATTTTTTTTCTACCCATGAAATATGGATCAGGAAAGTGATCTGAGCAGTGTTGTGTGGCCCTGCAAGGGCAATCTGGATGCCTGGAAGGCCAGAGAGGATGATGAGACAATAGTAAAACTGGGAAATGAGGTGGGCCTGGTTGAGAATTTTAACAGTGTGGTCACAGAGTAAAGACTCCATCTCTGAGATGTTATGAGAAAGTCCTACCCTGGGTGCATTCTAATGTCTCTAACTTGTAGGCATCAAAATTCACTAACAAATCAAGAAAAAACATTTTACACATAAATAAAACAAAAACATAAGCTTTCAGTCTAAACTAATGAGGTATTTTAAATAAAAAACAAACATATTGCAATCCATAATGTAGTATTATATGGCTTGATCTCAAAAGAAAAATGACATCTTGACATAGTTAATTAAAATGTAGCGTTCTAATTAATTAAGTCTTTGCCAGCACTTACTCTTAACCTGTCTTTGGGCAATGCGACAGCTCCTTGTTTGATGATTTCCAGAACCCTTTCCACTGACAGCTGGGCTCCGGCTTGCTCTAAGCGTGAGCTGAAAAAGCTGATCACCTGGAACAGAAAGTGATAACACAAACAAGCGTAAGAAAGATAATTTTGCCAGTTCACAAATGAAACAATCATTTTCTCTCTTTCCTTTGATCATAATATCTTTAAACTGTTTTGTTTCTAAAGATGCATAATTACTTATGGCACAAGCAAGGAATGTGCTGATTTATGGAAATTATCAACATTCTTCAGCTGTAGTGTAGGTGGCTGATTAATACAGTTCATTTAGCAATGCAATTCAATTAATAGATTTACATTCTGTTTATATATATGATGCTGAATAACAGAAATCTGTGTAATATCTTATTTATTTCCTCCATTGTTACATATAAGAAAACTTCTGGTTAATATTTGATTCAAATATGCTTGTAATGAATTGGTTTTTATTGAAACAAATTCACAACTACCTAAAACTTAACAGTGGACGTCACATTCCTTAAAAGATTTCAAAACTATAGTGGAGAAAGCATTAGAAAAAGCATTGTTGGGAACTATCTTGCTTTGGCAGGAGATGGCCTAGAACAGTGGTCCCCAACCTTTTAGGGCTGCCAGGCACCTGGGGCGGGGCCACTCACGCGCCGGGCACCCGGGGGTGGGGCTGCGCACACGCCCAGGGGCAGGACTGCACACGTGCCCGGGGGTGGGGCCACCCATACGCCGCGAACGCAGTGCCATCCATGCGCCACACTCCCAGAGCCGGCGCTGCTCCTGTGCCATGTGCCCAGGGGCGGGGATGCCCATGCACCACGCACCTGGGGACGGGGCCACCCACGTGCTGCGTGCCTGGGGCCAGCGCTGCCCCTGTGCTATGCGCCTGGGGCCAGCGCCACACTTGTGCCGCACACTATGGGGCCAGCACAGCCCTTGCACTGTGGACCTGGGGGCGGGACCACCATACGCTGCACGCCCCGGGGCCAGGCACCGCCCATGCGCCCGGAGGCGGGGTCAGCTCCTATCACTCAGCGGGCGCACAGAAATGGCCCAGCAGGCACCATGGTGCCCGTGGGCACCACGTTGGGGACCACTGGACAGGAAGATCCACTAGTTCTCCCATCTCTAATTTCTATTAATATCTATTGTCATTGATTTTAAAGGCCAGAAGGGACCACCTAGTCCAGCGGTTCCCAACTGCTGGTTGCCAGTTCATGGAGGCTCAGCTCCAGCACCCACGGTGGCTGAGGAATGGCAGGAGGACATGGAGGAGGAGGAGGAGCCTTCCTCTCTCCTCTGTGCTTGGGGAGGGAGGCGGCATGGAGGAGGAGGGAGCCAATGGCCACTCCTCCTACTCACACTGCCGCTTTTGCTGGCAGTGGCGCTAGGGCAGAAGTGGCAGCAGGAGGCAGTGGAGGTGGAGGAACCTCCCTTCCTCCTTGGTAATGGCAGCCAGCTGGGGCTCCACACTCTGCCAGTGTAGCCTGTTTTGCCAGCAGTGGTGCTAAGGCAGCAACAGGAGGAGCCTCCCTCTCTCCTACGCTTTCAGTAATGGTGGCCACCTGGGGCTCGGGGCTCTGCCCCCGAGACCGATTTGGCCGGTTGCGGCAGCAGGAGGCAGAGAAGAAGGCGCCTTCTTCCCTCCCTCCTTGGTCATGATGGCCAGGCCAGGTCTCCATGCTCTTCCCCTACCCATCAGGATGCAAAACACACTTGGGGAATGAGGGTGCGCAAAGGAGAGGGAGTGAGCACACTGCCAACAGCCATTCCCCCATTCCGCGCAGCAGTAACACGCATGCTGCTTAGGGGGACAGCTTCACTCTGGGGAGTGTTGGGACTGGGGGGACAAAGGGGTGTTGCGTGGGCATGGTAGGGTCACAGGGCAAGAGGGTGTCGGCATGGATTATAGGGGTCAGAGGTTAAAGGGTGAAAGAGCATAGGGAATAGGGGTGGAGGTCAAGGGGTGTTAGGCACTGGGGAGCAAGGGGGTGGGTTAGGGCCAGGCGGCCACATAACATTCTATTTGTGTATTTGCATATTCATTATTTGTATGATGAATATGCAAATACAATGTTACCGGTCTGCCAAAGGTTTGTGAATGGGTTTGCCGGTCCCCAGCATAAATCTCGTGCATAATACAGACCATAAAATGTTACTTAACGATTCTTGCCTCAAGACCAATTAATCTGTGGTTGAAGCAAAACATCAATTTTAGAAAACAGGATAGTTTAATGTTTCCATCACAGTTGGACCCAAGTAGTCAGAGATGCAAGTTCACACATTTAAAGTAGTACTTGGTGCTAGCTTGAGATTTTGCTGCTCTTGGAAAGTTGGGAACTAAGCACACTTCCCAGACCCATGCACTGAAACTCCTGCCCTGGTTCTCTGTCTCACCAGCTATGGCTGGTTAGGCCTCAAGAAAGGGGTGATTTTTAGGGTTAAAGGCAAATTCAATAAACCTACCCACCTAACTAAACCAGAGGCAGAGTGAGCAGAGAAATGAGACACTCAGGACCACAGGGTTTGGGACTCAGTGTTAATAAAGTTGGAGTGAAGAGATCCAAAAATCACACAAAACTCAGAACAAATATGGTGGCTGGCATAGTCCCAAGTGACCAAACAGCATGAGTCAGGTACCCAGAAATCAATCATTTTTTAAATTTCATGTGTGCACCTCTACATTTTGAGTTTGTAGGGTCCAAATTTTCAGGCTTTTCTCCCTAACCGTTATGGCCAGAAATGCACTTTCATTTTCAAAAAATGGAAACTGAGATTTGCATGTAATCACATGACTCCAAGAACTGGGGATTTTAAAAAATCATGAAATATGGTCGTAAAACTGTGAGAGTTGACAACATTAGGGGACACGCAAACCACAGTGATTAAAACTAACCACACATCCATGTTCCCAACATATCTATGCTGTCTGTTCCTTCCTGTTGCTGCTCCCCCAAGACTCAGAACTCCACATGCAGCCCACTGACCAGGCCAGGCTGACACCATATTTTATCCTTCCTTCCCTAGTCCAGCTTGCCCCTGTTAATCAGGGCTTCACCTGCATCATCCACCTTAAGGTTCCAGTAAAAGCAAGTGATCCAGCCCCAGCTCTTTGACATGGAATAGCATGAAACAAGAATACAGTCATCCTATATATATATCTATATCTATCTATATCTCCTTTCAACTCCAAAGAACTTAAAGCACTTTGAAAATGACACTAATTCGTCAGGAAGATGGTGGCAACCATACAACACACACTGGAGCATAGTACATTGTACAAGAGTGCAGAAAGAGTAAATTATGGTCAAGGACACAAAAGCCTGCCTGCATTTCTTTTAAAAAAAAAAAAAAAAGGTACTTAATCCATGACCCAATTACCAGAGCACAACTGAAGGCACTTTATGGGCCTACAGAAATGTATGCACAAATGAGTAGCTGGATGTCTGATTGGCTATCTCCATCTGAATATTCCCAAATCCGTGTACATATTCCATATGTAAATATACCTGTTTACATGTTCCGTTATGTGAGAATGCAGGAGATAGAAAGAGTGAGTTTTTGGACAAGGAAGTAATTCTACATTATGCATCTGAAGGCTTACAACTCCAGCGCACTGAAGTAACCTGTGTTAATTATCTCCAAGTTAAAAAAAAGTGTACTATATTACAGAATCTCAGTGGAGCTGCCTTTGTTCTGTTAAGCGAGACACACAGCTGGAGCCAGGAACCATTAACCTAATTATGCCTCCCAACTCGGCTGCTGTTAGTAAAACAAAGACAGCTGATAGTTTGATTACTCTGGGATTCAAATTAGTGACTCCTTTATCTCGAGCAGGCTGCAAGCTCTGCCTCCTTTTTAGGACAGGTAGATGTGCTATCATCTTCTCTGGAAATTGCAAAGTACAAAACAAATTAAATACAAAAATATTATATTACAAACACTGCAGGGATTCTTTTCACAAGAGTATTTAAGCAATGGTTTAAAGGGAAATAATGCAGTTAAAAAGTGGTTTGAAAATGTCATAAAATTACAAAATCCTTTATCTTTTAGGCAGTCCCATTAGACCAACAGACATATCTCCTACACCACACAAATATGTTGTCCTTAAGCAATGTATTATGCAAAAGAAATAACATTATAATGTTTGAAATGTTCTGTCCAACAAACAATACTAACAGCTCATTAGCTAAGATGGGAGTTTGATTAAATAGGAAATACACCAAAATTCTGGAAGCATGTAAACACTTGATAAAATGGATAGCAATACACTTAATGTTGATTTGTTTGGCATAAATACAATAAAATGCACAAACTACACATATTTAAAACAAAAGCGGCGAGGAGTCCTGTGGCACCTTATAGACTAACTGAAGTGTAGGAGCATAAGCTTCCATGGGCAAAGACCTACTTCGTGCATCTGACGAAGTGGGTCTTTGCCCATGAAAGCTTATGCTCCTACACTTCAGTTAGTCTATAAGGTGCCACAGGACTCCTCGCCGCTTTTGTTTTAAATATGTGTAGTTTGTGGCTTCACTGAAAACAAAATGTTGCCTCGTATTTTTAGCCAAATTTATATAAAATCACTCCACTCAAAATGATTTATGTAGAAGGAACTGTGGGTAATCTTGATACCATATACAAGTACCATTTTGTGTAAAACACTGAGGAGAAGATACCAATATATGGGATGTAATCTTGTATTTCATATACTGGTGAGTGGGAAACGGAACTGCCGCTTTTGTCAGTTTTTACTTTTATCAACTACTTTGTGTTTTCAATGTATGCCAAAGCACACAGAGCTTTGGATGGATATTCTTTGCTGTGAAGTGTAAGACTGATATCTAAATAAATAGATATATTAAGGTAAAATATACAATTGCTTAAGTGTTAAGATTTTAAAATAATCAATTAGAGGGCATATTTGAGTAATTCCATTTTTAAATATTCCAAATGCAGGTTGAACCTCTCTCCTCCAGGACTCTCTGGTCTGGCAACATCCATGGTCCGTCTGGTTGGCGACAGCCAGCAGGGCCAGTGACCTAGCGGTAGATAGCCCCAGAGCAGCTGCCACA